TCTTCACTTTCTGCCATTCATCTGCATATCTTAGGTTGTTGATATTTCTCCCAGCAATCTTAATTCCAACTTTTGATTCATCTAGCCCTGCCTTCCTCATGATGTGCTCTGCATATAAGTTAAATAGGCAGGGTGACAGAATACAGCCTTGTCGGACTCCTTTCCCAATTTTGAACCAATCAGTGGTTCCGTGTCCAGTTCTCACTGTTGCTTCTTGACCCGCATATGGGTTTCTCAAGAGACAAATAAGATTGCCTGGTACTCCCATCTCTTTAAGAACTTGCCACAATTTGTTGTGATCCACACAATCAAAGGCTTTAGCATAGTCAATGAAGAAGAAGTAGATGTTTTTCTGGAACTCCTTAGCTTTCTCCATGATCCAGCGCATGTTGGCAATTTGATCTCTAGTTCCTCTGCCTCTTCGAAATCCTGCCTGTACTTCTGGAAATTCTTGATCCACATACTGCTGGAGTCTAGCTTGTAGGATTTTAAACATAACTTTACTTGCATGTGAAATGAGTGCAATGGTGTGATAGTTCAAACATTCTTTGGCATTGCCTTTCTTTGGAATTGGAATGTAAACTGACCTTTTTTAATCCTGTGGCCACTGTTGAGTTTTCCAAATTTGCTGACAAATTGAGTGTAGCACTTTTACTGCATCGTCTTTTAAGATTTTGAATAGCTCAGCTGGAATACTGTCACTTCCACTAGCAGGGCCACCCAAGACGGACAGGTCATAGCAGAGAGTTCTGACAAAATGTGATCCACTGGAGCAGGAAATGGCAACCCACTCCAGTATCTTTGCCATGAAAACCCCATGGACAGTACCAAAAGGCAAAAAGATATGACACTGGAAGATGAGCCCCTCAGGTCGGAAGGTGTCCAATATGTTACTGGGGAAGAGCAGAGTGCTAGTACTAGTAGCGCCAGAAAGAGTGAAGCAGTTGGGCCAAAGCCGAAAGGACGTTCAGCTGTGATGGGATTATCCCATCCTCTGCAATGGATGAATCTGGGAGTTGAAGCCCCAATACCTCAAGAGTGTGCCAGTTCGGGAAGGCTTATTTAGCATGATGTGTGAATCTTGATTTTGTGATTTGTTAAATTGTGGTTTTGAAAAATGTTTTTGAAAAATGTATAGCTTCGTATAGTTAGCCCAACTATTCTCAACATATTTTACATCTGAAAGTTTATTAGTAAGAGCCCTCTAATTAGAATTGCCTTGTTTTTGCCATTTCATTTTAGTAAAATAATAATATATAGTTAAGGTATGCTACTTCTTTGGCATGCAATGGAAGTAATGCATCTGTACTCTTTTTGTAACAAATATTTATTTTTTCAAATAAATTGTACACTGCTCACTCACATTTTGAGATTATAGCCAATTTTGACACAACAGCACTTTTGGTTTGAGATAAATAACCAAAGTAAAGTAATGTGACAGCATTTGAGGGATTGTAAGTCTGTAACAAGAATGAGAATTGAATTGTTAGCATGCCACATTTTGTGGATGGTGGCAATTGGGCTTTATTTTCCTTATACAGGGATAAATTTGAGGAAGCATGGAACTTCCTTTCACCCACTTAGTTTATCTAGTTTGATATGGAGTATCCAGAATGCAGAAATCACCATAAGGCTTTGAATGTTTGATCCAGCAAGCTTTTGAGGATCATTTTATTTGAAATGTTAAGGATTAGATTTGGAATATCGTGCCTGCAGAATGTAAGCTAGAATGCAGAAATAGTCATTTCATTTCATACTCATTTCAGCTGTTTAATCAATCTGATATTGGCTGTAACTCTCACACCCACTTTAACTTATCCTGCAAGATAAAATTTCTATATGGTGAAGGATTATTTCGTAGAAACTAAGAAACTGTGAAGAGTTGTAGTCCTGCCCAGCTGGGTGACTTTGGGTCAATCCCTCACTTTCAGTGCAACTCACTTCTCAGAGTTGCTTTTATTGGGAAAACAGAAGGAGAAAGAGCGTTGGTATGTACCCCACTGGGGTGTGTGTGTGTGTGTGTGTGTGTGTGTGTGTGAGAGAGAGAGAGAGAGAGAGAGAGAGATCTAAAAGGAAAAATCTGAACTGACACGAAAGTCCTAGAAGTGATTTTAGAACAACTTGTGACAAAATTCATTGGTCTCTCTCTTTCCATTTTTCTAGTTGTTGCCATATATGACTATACAAAGGACAAAGATGATGAGCTGTCGTTCATGGAGGGTGCAATCATTTATGTGATAAAGAAGAATGATGACGGTTGGTATGAAGGTGTATGCAACAGAGTGACTGGCCTGTTTCCTGGAAATTATGTTGAATCAATCATGCACTATGCAGATTAATTCTTTTTTTCAGGTCAGGCCTTGCCTTCAGTCATGCCATAATGATCTATCTACAAAGGGTAAATTAACACTTGTCTTAATGCTCCTTAAAATGTGCACATCCTTTCCAGGCCATACTGTTTAAATGGCATGATTGAATGTTCATCTGTAAGCATCTGTTTCTGGAGTTTGTAAAATGAACAAATATTTTAGGATTGTGCAGAATGGAATGGTTCTCAGAAATTTGGTATTTTCCCCAGAATGGTCCAGTCTGAACATTCTGGGTGAGGTTTGTGTTTCCAAAAGTCTTTCTTTTGGATCATGAAGTGAGTCATGGTGTTCAAGACACCTTTTGCTTCCAAAACAAGAGTTCTACAAACCAGTTTGCATTCCAGAAGACACACTTCCAGAAACATACAACCATAGAATGATTGGATTGATCCATTTCCGGGAGAAACAGAACATTCCATGAAAAAGCTATTCTGTTTTGCAAATAACTGAACTCTTTTATTACTGATTATGCTTATTTACCTATGCGTTGTTTTCTACGACCAGCCTAAATATTCTGGGGAAGTAGGGTATATACTATTTAATGACTCAAGATTCAAATTGTGCCATTGTTTTCTTTTCTCAGTGCAACAGTGTGATAAACTAACAACTGTTAGACTAACATTAAATCTGATTGAAAAAGTTTAATAATGCTGGTCATTTACCTTTATTTAGACTCATCCTCAAACTATAGTATTTGTTTAAAAGCATGCATAAAAACTTATGTATTGAATTACACTTTTTTCTGAAAATCCAAGATGCTTCCAATTTGTTGTAATCTTTTACTGGAGTACTTTCTCTAAGAGTCTCTTCCAGTGAGTCCTTTGAGTCTCTATCAAAAATGTCCATGTGAATCAAAGATGGGTGGTCTTATGATGTGTGTGTAATTTGTATCTGAGTTTTTAATGAGTAAAATTGCATTTGACTTTTCCATTCATAAATACATAAATGAACCAAAGGTCTTGTCCATTACTTTTGTTGGCTTGCCTTGCTTTGCAAAGCAATATTGAAGCATGTTGACTTACCAAATCTCCCCCTTATCAACAGGATCATGTTTAATTGCAAGTCCAAAATCTTACACCCAATAAAGGGAAATGTACACTTCTGCAGGTCTATCATATATGCAGATTGCACTTATTTGGCTTATTCATTAGTAAATATATTTGGAGAGTGCTACCCATGACTTTGAGTCGCTACTATTGGAAACAGAAAGCACATCAAAAAACGTGGGAGAAAGTATAAAACAAAGCTATTTTAGCTTTTCTTTTTCAGGTCACTTACCAAGTTATAGTGATCTGGGAACAATTATAGAGCAGAAATCTGTTTCTCTTCTTGGCTACCAGTGTGTGGCCGGGGATGGTCAAGTTTATATTGCTGATATACCACAAGAGAGGTGAAGTAAACATTTAATCACTTTTTAATTTCAGCTGGATTGGTAATTTTCCTGTTAACAGGCATCCTTTTGCTGTAGAACTGCCTTAAGAGAGCAGCTTTAATGACACATTGCAAAAGTAGATGAAGGTGCAGAAGGTGGGCAAACAAACAATCCCAAGTGACTGTTCTATTTAAAACTATGAAGGTCTCTTGTCCTGCTGAAAGTAAATTTTCATCATTGGGGGATTTCTATTGATTTTTCCACATCACTATAAACAGCGAGTATCTAGGAATACAGATCTTGTGGGCCTAAGAACAGGGATATCTTTCCATACCATTGCTGTTTCTAGTCAGGCATCCCACTAAAACAAGCAAGAATAGCTTATGTAGAAAAAGACATAGGTTGTCGTGCAACCTGTTTGGCTTTTAGTATGCAGGAGAACATCTACAGTTTGAACACAAGGCCAGACGACAGTTCTGGTTTTCGACAGTACACAAGAAAAATTATAAAGGGATATGTTGCTTTGTGTAGTAAAGATTTATTTGGGCTCAGTCACTGTCCTAATGGGCATTAGATGATGAACAAGCAAGTGTACTAAATACAAGAACAATAATATTATGTAGTGTGACATTTGATATTGAAGGATCTCTTGCCTTGTTGTTCCTTAAATGAACCTAATTGCTTTATTTGCCTTTTCCTGATTGTTAACATGTTATTTCTGACATCAAATAGCAACCCACGAAATCTATTTGTATTCCCTTTATAAATTGGAACGCTTCTTGATTTGTATATAACCTGTTTTAATTATAACAAATATGTACAGTCTTTTATAATAAACCATTCTTTAATTTTCTGGGTACTTTGAAATTCTGATAGGCAATTTAATTATTCGAGCAGTTGGTTATAGTCCCAGCACACATGAGAAACGGCAGAAATAATTTGATACACTGATTGTATTTTATTGTTTGTGGCCTTCAGCATCAATAGTGAACAGTGTAAACAAATGCCCACATAAAACAAGAAACCTCTTCATTAAAAATATCGGTACCACGTGCTGCTACCAATTTAACAGACTGATTGTGTTTCACTGTTGCATAAGGTTTTCTTCAATAAAAGCATTTCATAAGCCTAGTTACTTAACTAGAACTTTTTTTTTAAAAAAAATGAGAACTCCACCAGAAGCAAGCCAAGATGTTCTGAAACAGTTTAGGCACAGTCTGGTAAAATAGCTGCCAGAATCACCAGGAGGAAGAAGAGGATCATTTATCTCGAGACAAGACAATTTCTGCCAGGTGCATAAGGGCATCTCTTTCTGGAGATGGTCTAAGCTTGCTAATCTCCTTCACTGCTTCATGACAATAACGCTGGGCGAGGTAGGTTGTTTGCTGTATGCCACCGCTCTAAGAAAAGACCAAAAATATTAAAGGAGTTAGTGAACCGTACAAAACTGCTGCTTTCCCATTTTGCAATTGGTTTTGTGAAAGTTTTAGCTGATTATTTTTTTAGAACTGCATTTTATAGATCCATACAACTTGAAGGTAATTGTAGACGTAAGCTACTTTGAAATGTTCCTTATCTCCAATGTGCTTTATACTACCATGGATGCCATGATTTATGAAAATGGCCTTGAGTCTTAAACAACCCCCAACTCATTAATATAAAAATTGGCAGTCTGCTGAGAGTAGCATGTATGAATTACCAACACAATATTTACTTGATCCACTTTCAGTATTATCATCTGTTAGATCAGTGTTTTTCAAACTTGGCAACTTTAAGATGTGTGGACCAGTTCAATGGCTGAGGAATTCTGGGAGTTGAAGTCCACACATCATAAAGTTGCCAAGTTTGAAAAATATTGTGCTAGATCAGTGGTTCTCAACCTGTGGGTCGGGACCCCATTTGGGGTCGAACGACCATTTCACGGGGGTCGCCAAACAATGCAATCTGCCATTTTTTCCCCCTTTTCCTTAGCTGTGCTACTCCCTTTTATTCTATTGGCTTTTGAAAGCCAATAGAATAGACTCTCCTGAATAGAGTCTAATTCTATTGGCTTTCAAAAGCCAATAGGAATTGTCCAGGCTGTCTCTGCCCTGCTGAGCCCGCCAAAAGTCCCATTCTGCAAACGGTGCTGCACCAGTTGAGTAGACCTCGACTTACGACCGGTTGAGTAGTCCTCGACTTACAACCGGTTGGGGGGGGGGTTTGCGGCATTAAAAAGGTTGAAAACCACTGTGCTGGATACACATCTCTGCAGAAGCTAAAGGCAACTTATATGGGAAATGTATATATCACTTCCCTTTATTCCATACAACAATAATTTTAATAAGATTGGGCTAAAAGAAAATGATTTGGCCCAAAGTCATCTTATGAATTTTCATGGCTAAAGATGATCTTGAATTTGGGTCTATTTTCTAGTCCAATCCTTCATTACTGCACCACATTGGCTCTCCATGAACATTCAGATTCTATAAGGAATCTCATGACTAGCTCTTCATGAACAGAAATCTCATATGTTTGCTTGCAAAATAGGATGGTTTTATTAAAAACTTTAATCTCTGCCTATATAATAATTGCTGTAGAATGAACATGGATTTACTATAGATGCTGTAACTTTCTTCTTAGAATAATAGAATCAGACACACAGGATGTCAATGCCAGCATGATGTGTTTTTCCTGACTGTATTAAAAACATAAAGAGATAGTCCTTGCTTAACAACTGGTCTGTTTAGTTATTTTTTGAAGTTATGACAATATTGAAAAATAATTATAATCAGTCCTTGCATTTCCAGTAAGCAGATTCAACAGAGAAGCTGATAGTAAAACTGCAAGTCACATCTCATGTTTCACTTAATGACCACAGTGGAAGTGAAACTGTAAGCATCGTGGTTATGTGATGTCTCACTTAGCAATAGTGTTGCAGATCCTAGCTGTGGTTTTTAAGTGAGGACCAGATGTACTTGAATCAACACTGTATCTATTGATGTTTGGTCTGCAAGGAAGAGTGAAATCACAAAAGTATACCAAATTTTCTTTAATGAAGGTTTTGTCTTACCTGTAATACAAATTCCTGGGCACGTTGGATATCGCCTGGGTAAGTGAATCGCCTCATTATCATGGCATTAATTTCTGGGAACTAGAACAGAAAAAATATTATTGGCCCATCTTAGACATTTATTTGCATACTGATAATATGAGTTCTTTGCATACTGATAGACTCTAAATGCAGGCAGAGCTACATATGGATCTTTTTGTAGCTTGTTGGATATTTTTCTTCTTAAGATCCAGAATTTTATCAAAAGTAATCTTACTGAAGAAGCTTCTCAGCATATTGAGGACTCTCAGGTGCAGGCAGGTTAAGAGATTATGTTATCTGTCAGTTCTTAATTTTCAGACAAACCAAGTAAAACTGAGTTGATGAACTGAAAATGTCTGTTTCACTTTAATTCATTTCAAGGAGCCAGAATGGATTATAATATATTTAAGAAAGAAACTGTCGCTTGAAAAAAACAACAAATATAATGGTGGATTCTATATGAATTTGTGTGTATGCATGTATGACAAATTGGCCCAAGAGTTGGATAAGAATTTTTTTTCTTTTTCCACAGTGTAATTTGGCCAGGACCTAAAAAGCTTTAGTATTCTCCTAATGATTACAATAAAAAATACTGTATTCTAATCTTTGCAATCCCTTGAATTCAATCAGGTAACAGGCACAACTGAAAGGAAGTAGCCATCACTTTTATATTAGTTTGTGAATTTTCATATGAAATGCAGTAAATGGAGTGAATACTTTAGCAAAATAAGGACAAGTCAAATTGACTTCACATCTAAGGTTTGAGTGATTTTGGCTTAGTGTGTTATATAAAAGTAATGGTTTCCTCTTTCCAGTTGTGTCTGACTCTAGGGAGTGTTGCTAATCTCTTTCTTGGGCAAGGAAGCCAGAATAGTCCAAAGACATTTCATATCATATGGCTAGTGTGACTATATGCCGAGGTACATGGAACATTGTTACTGTCCCACTGAAGTGGTATCCATTTATCTATTTTCATTTGCATACTTTCAAACTGCTAGGTGGGCAGGAACTGGAGCAAGTAACAAAAGCTCACCCCATTGCACGATGCTTGGGTCTCAAACTTGGGCTGTTAACTTTACAGTTTTTAACTGTATGTTATATACAGGAAGCCAATTAAGTTTGTTTTAAAAAAACATGGATAAACCACAAATTGAGAGCCAGTTTAGCGTAGTGGTTAAAGAATCAGGCTAGAAGTGGGGAGACTGGCCACTCACTCACTTTCAGCCCTAGAAAGGAGGCAACAACAACTATTCCTGAAAAATGTTGGTAAAAAAATTATAGGGATCTGTCTAGGCAACCTTCAAGAATCAGACACTGAACCCCTCCCCCAATTAATACAAAGATTATATCCAACTTTCAACTATGTAAAATCTTGACACATTCAAACCTAGACAGATATCTACCTTTAACTTTTAACAATCCAGTCAATAAACTTAACCATGCCTTTTGTTGCTAATTTGACTTAGGATAATAAGAAATTAGTTAAGTGTTGATATTATTCTAAGTTATTGCTTCTAATTTGAAAACCACCTGTAGAGGGTACCATTCCTTCCTTTAAGCATCTTCCTTATTTTTCTTCAAAGCATGCATACACAATAATACTTTTAAATTTTAGCATGAATAAAACTCAACTAAACGTGTAATATCTTGGGAAGAAAGTAGAGTCTCGGTTGTTTATACCTGCTGGCAAGCAAATAAGACAGGTCCAGTGGCTATTCCAAGTTTAAGGTCTGCTGATGCAGGCTTTCCTAGCTGTTCAGAACATGATGTAAAATCCAGCACATCATCCACTAGCTACAGTAAACAAAGAATATACAATACAAAGTTTACAAGATATCCTTGCAAGGATCTAAGTAAAGCATACATGTATAAAATGTTACCAAATCTCCCCTTTTTGATTGATTAAAAATTCTGTGTCTTTAAGTCATCATTGTTATATGTTACCTGAAATGCTATCCCAAGGTTTTTTCCATACAGATACGCAATTTCATGAACTTTTGGATCAGGGCAGCTTAGTACAGAAACCTGAAAAGGAAAAAAGAACAGAATCTCTGGTTATTTCCCATTATTCATATGTGCCAACAATGTACCAACAACAGAGAAGCAGACATCAATAACTTCATTCTGTCCAAAGATCTGAAGAGTTTTGGGATCAGACAGATGGACGAGAGATAGAGATATCTTCATATCCAAAAATGGATTAACTTTGAAATATTTATTATATTTGCACATATAACTGCAAACACAAAGGCTAACACATATAATAAGATTATGATTGCAAAATGATTTGTTAGTTTTACAGTCATCATCAAATTTCATTGTAATATAAAGAGAAACTATAACAAATGCTGAGAGACCCATCATTAACCATTAGTTTTATTAACTTTTCTAATAATATTCTTTATCAGACAGCTAAGTTGATGTATAATCAGAAAATAACCAACAGGGCAAAAACCTATGTTATATTACAGAAGAGTTATGATGGATGCTGGGCATTATGTTTTTAGGGTGCCAAATCTTTTGGCTTTAAACTAGCACTTTAAACTCTACTTGTAAAATTAAGTAGAATCCTCTAACTTATTCCAAAATTGTGCAATCTGCTCTATGAAGAACACTTCTGAAAAATATTTGTACTTGCTCTATTTTTCATGATAAACCCTATCCAGAATTCACTAAGATATGAATCCCTCTGGCTAGATCCTTCCCAAGCATGCAAGAAAAAAATTGTGCTTTCTACCAGGACCTCACTTTCCAAGCATACTATTGGTTTAAGGATTTATAGTCCAAGTTCTATCCTCATCTAATACTGATTTTTCATCTGGTACAGGGCTTATATTTAATTCTAGATTAGGAATGCTTATGATCAACAATGCAGGACTGAGCCTCCATCCATTAGTTTGCCCATATATGGTCTCTCATTGCAGGCAATGTTTAGTGTAATCTGTAATCTTTCAAGGTGCTGTGTGGTGTTTCTTAAATCCTGCCTTATATAATGGATTCCTTTTTCATTATCACATGGATTAAAAAAAGATTGGGAATATCTGTTTAGTATTCCTGCTGTCTTCTTGGAGTCACCTGAAATAGTGCAGCACAAGGCAAATTAAAGAAACTTCAAAGAATTCCATTTGCTGAAGTGCTAAGTAATACCTAGATAGCAGTACAACTGTAAAATCATTATTTGCTCAACCAAATTATTTCAATGCTTTCTCTGAAACTGATGAAACAGAAAATTACATTCATCATAACTGTTTGGTGTTTTGAATTCTGCTCCCATTTTTTCATTAAGCTTAATGTATTGGTTAAGTTATTTTCTCTCTATTTTTCTCTCTGGAAAATGAACCAAAGATACCACTGCAGCCATTTTGTCAAAACCTTTATATTCATAAGCTTGTTGAAAAAATAGATCAATCTTCTAATTCCTAATCTGTCTCTCCTCCACACATTAAGATAAATTAACAGAAAAGATGGAACGTACATACTGCTTTACAGCTGTGTGCTATAAGACTTGCAGTCTTCTTAAAAGTTTTTTCGAGGTAGTGAGAAAATCTCTCATTTTCATTTTCTTTGGAACCCAGCTGAAGAAATTCACCTGTAAGGGGTAAAAAAGATCAATAGTGTTAGCAACTAACTGCCAAGGAAATGAAAATTCTGTTATTTTTAGGTATGTTGCTAAAAAGCCTTACCACGCACCAGATCTTCAATCACTTGTGTTATTATAGAAAGGACAGTTGTGTTCCCAATACGTGCTAAAACTAAAGATGCTGTAGAAAGGATGAAATCACCAGCTAAGACTGCCTGGAAAAGAATAACTGATTTTAAAGTACTCTATTTGGTACCATTATTCAATTTACAGATTTGCATACTATTTTTTAATGCAAATCAGAGAACTTACCAACAAATAAATCTGGGAGGCAACATCAGAAATGTAATTATAAGAACTTTACATACATACTTTATATTTTTTCTCAGTTATATAAAATATTTTCATAATTCAAATTTAGAATAGGTTTGCCAGAGTGATAAGACAATGAGATTGGAAAGGAATTCTGGGAGTTGAAGTCCATACATCTTAAAAGTTGCTGAGGTTGAGAAACACTGCTTTATACTCCTAGAAACTTCATCTAGTTCCTGTGTCTTGAGAAAATTCAATAACAGGGTTGAGGTGCCACTCTTATCTTCTACCAAGAGGAAGTTTCTTTATATTAAATTATATCAACACCTATTATCTGCACATAGCTAAGAACACCGAATTCCCTTATATATGTTTGTGGGGGTGTCAACTGCATATACAAAACTTAACTGAAATACTTCGGCATCAAGCAAGACCTAGAGTTGTCTTTCTTCAAAAAACAAAAATTAATATCTGCTTTTAATTATTTCACTTTCCTCCCTAATCCTCTTCAATCAAGCTGCTGTGATCTTGTTTCTTTCCCAGTCACTGGTTAGAGACTTCTGGCTTATCAACAATCCTTCTGGGATACTTTACGTATTTCACTGATTGTTGATTTTTCTCTGAGCTTTTCTTTGGACATATTTTTTTTTCTTTCTTGTGCTGTATTGCTGCATTTTGTGTCATGCAGATTAAAATAGCAGATAACTCAAGTAGCATTGCCACATCAACAATACTTTCTATAGTTAAGAAAAAATACTTGCCTTCCTTTCCCCCCAGATCTGATTAACAGTAACTTTTCCTCTTCTTGAATTAGCATCATCAATTACATCATCATGAACTAGTGTTGCGGTATGGATCATTTCTGCAATTAATGCTACGGAGCGCTGGCTTGCCTTCACTTCTCTAAGATTGAGATGTGGGAAGAGGATAAGAAAAATGTAGCATATCAACCCTGTTAGAATAGCTTGAACAATACAGAAAAAGACAGGTGATATCTAATCAGATTCAAAAATTTTGGAGACCATGCAAATTCGTGCCATATCCAGTTATTTTCTGTAATAATAATTCTTTGAACTTATCCATTGGCCTTAATAATTGCCTTTCCATTCTTCTACTTTCCTCAACCTTGCCTCACATAAACAGTTTTGAAATCAATTGTCCACCTCTACATCACATCACATGGCAAATAGGCATTTTTCAACTTGCTAATTTACTAACATTTGCCCTGCTAATAATGAAATGATATTCATGAGTAATATTTTAGAGTTTGGTAAGTTTATAATGAAATTAATCTTTCATATTGAATATAGAAGAGGAAGTATAAAATTAAATACTGTAACTCAGCACAGTAGCGCAGGGAATGTACATAGTGAGAAATTATTTTCTTATTCTAAATAAGAGACATCCATTAAATACAAGATTGAATATCTGCTAAATCTTATCGTCACTATTTACTTTTGTATGGGAACATCTTAACTGTAATAATTCAAAAATAAAAAATATTTACCCAGAATTGTTATGATGAAAATTACATGCTCTGGCCATTAGTGCCACAATAATTGGTCGAAGGGCCTTCCCTTTACCATCAAAGTAATAGTCACACATTTCTTTAAGTTCTGTAGTAGAAATCCGTAATTCCTGCAGAAAGGCAAACAAAGCCTGTTCTATATCTGCAAATCTAGACTTGCTTTATGACAATAAAGTCCCATCTAAAGAATGATCTATTACAGCTTTTCACCCTAGCTCACCAAAAACATATTTACCTTTTTAATATCCTCATAGAGATTTTTCAGGTCTTTCCCTCCAAGTTTAAAAGGATCTTTGTATTGTTCATCGCTGACTGCTTTACCAAAGCAATGAGTTTGCACTGTTGTATGTTGAAACCGAGCAAAACTTTTTGGGGAAGAAATAAAATATTAACATAATCCCTGTAACTGAGGCAATTTGGTCATCCCTGCTCAGAAGAATAACTCTCTTGTTATCCTGACTAATTGAATTTTTAAAAGAAAATAGACAAAAGGAAATAATTCTTCAAGCTAATCTACAAAGTTAATAAACATTATTCATAAATGTTATCTATCTATTATTCAGTCAATACTGAGAAGCAAGAAGGACGTAAGTTTTTTAAAATCATTAGGTTTGGAGATCTTGGGTGGATCTTGCGCTTGCATTAAGCACCCAAGCTACCTTCAGAAGCAATTATTTTCCCATCCAGCAAAATTAATAGTTTTTGAGTCTCATACTCCTATCTTGCATTAGCGACATCATAGAAAAAGACAAGCTGTTTGGATCTATAAAGTTATCAAAAATCAAGGAAAAATAGCTTAGGCATTTTATTCAATTGTACTAGGTTATTATTTCTGTGAAGGACATAGTTTCTAAATCTGATATATACATAAAATAAATATTGTACCTTTGTGTGGGCATGCATATGGAGAATAAAGCTAAAATTGTTATGTTGTGTTGAATTAAATGAAAAAAAAAAAGCACTCCATTCTGCATGGTTATTTTCTTTTCTCTAAAACAAGAGAACAAAAAATCTAGCACCAAGCTACATGCTATATAAGATATGAAATTATAGTCACTTTTCCACTGCATTAATTTCTTATGTTTGGTGATGCATACTAATAGCGTAAATCACCATGAAGTATCTTATATTACCGGTTTGCATACATATACATATGTGTATATCATATACATAATAGCCAAAATAATAGCCAAGTTTCGCAAGATTTTAATCTTCCTCACTCACTATTTGTAAAATTTCAGGCAGAAATATCACATTTCATACAATTTCCTATGTGATTCTGGCTATTTTAATTTTCATTTTAATTTGAAATTTAATAGATGAGAATATTTGCTCTCATGGCTTCAGCTGCTGTATTAACTTGCTTATATGATGATTCTCAAAAGATCTTATATATCAATTTAATGGTTTATACTGAATATTTAATTTGCGTAGCTGTCAAAAGACAGGGAAAAAGACTAAATATTATGATGCATGCAATTTAATATCTCACTGTTGTATCCTTCACAGTCAAACTTTAAAAGATACTGAAGTTTCCTACTTTAGTATGACTATTTTTATAATGTATACAGTAGAAAGCTTTCAACTTACCGCCAACATATACTATACATTTTTGGAAAAAATAGACACAGTCTTTCCCCTAAAAAACTAGATTTCTGCAGAAAGAAAAAAAAGGATATTTATTTATAATCCACTTTTTAAAGAACTACTTTATGCAGAATTAAGATAAGATTACAAAAGTTACTACGGATTCTCCTCGGGTTACAGTGGCAATTGGAATCAAAATTTCTGTTGCTAAATGATATGGTTGTAACATGCAATATGACACATGATTATATCACTTAGCGACAGTAATCCTGAAAGTTCCAGTTGCCGTCATAATCCCAGGATCACGTTGGTTAAGTGAAGACTTTAAATCAGGGGTGTCAAACTGCCGGCCCGTGGGCCAGACGCATCACGTGGAAGCCACGCCCACTCCATTCCCGGCAATGGCAAAATCGGCCAGATACGTTGTGCGACGTCATGTGATATCGTGAATTTGACATGTCTGCTTTAATGAATGTGACATGCGAAGAGATGGAAGCCCCAGGCAAGCAAGTTGGTGGTTAAATATTGTGGTTGAGTGGGTGGATGTTGTGTGTAGAAGCTATGAGAGCAGGTGAGTAGGTACCACAAGGCATTTTTCACTGCAAAATATGAAAAGGGAACAAGACAGAATGAGGCTAGTTGACTGAACAAGATTAGAATTCCTAAGTAACACCATCTGGATTAAGAGGTCAGTGGGGTTTATTAAACAATTTATATGCATAGGGTATTTGAAGCTCAGCAAACAAACAAATCAGCACTTCACAGATTTTTCCCCTTATATCCACTTTTCTGCAGAGATATTGAGTAGCATAAAAGTGGCCCACATACACATAATTGGGGAGGAAAGTTCCCTGGATTTGTTTTAATGAGCTTTAGCAACAGTAGAAGATAAGGCAGAGAAGCATAATGAATTTCTTTCATTTGGAAAACTTTGTAAAGAACATTACTAGATTAAGTCTGTAATAATGGTGAATATCTGTAGTTCAGGTGTAGGATGAGGGTGAAGGTTCATTCTCCAAGTTTGTGGGTTGGTTTTCAAACGTTTCATTACCAAGCCTGATAAGAAATGTTTAGATTACATCTATTCATTTCTTTGTTTTTTTGTTTTAGATTACTCATGAATTCTTCCCATAATTTCTCCTGAAGGAATTGTTTTAACAAGTATTGTGAAAATGGGTTCAGATATCTAAAAACGAAATGCAGTGGGCTGAGCAAAACAAACAAACAAACCAAAAAGCACATTTCATCTCTGACATCTTGCACAGGCCAGTAACTTGTGAAATGATGAATCTGGTTGAAAGACAGCTAGTTTTCTCAAAAGTATTGTTGGAGCAACAATTCTTTTTATCCCATTTTCTTTATATTTTAACCAACTCCTGGCGATAAGCATGCCTAATATCCATGCCTCGTATTTACCAGCCAGTATGGGCCGTTGAAAATAATGCCCACTGACAGATCATTTAATATTTCAATTTGTAAGCCTTTTAAGATACCTCCAAGAGAAGCAAACCACATCTTGCTGCAGTCTTACACCCTAACAGGATTATGCAGCAGGAAATACTGTATTTTCTTTTCTCTAGCTTGTGCTTATTGGCTTTTGCAACCTTTCTGTCTTTGCTCTTCTGCAAATCCCAGTCATTATCTGCCATCCAGTGCCCTCCAAATGACCCAGGCAACATCTCGTCAGCTGCTCCCCGACCCCTCTACAGCGCACTAGCTGGGCAAGGCGCTTGGGTAACTAACTTCCTTATTCAACGCGCGAGGCTTGGAAAACGCTTCCCTTTCCGCTCCTCGTTTTCTCTTCCTCCCCTCACCATTTCTTAAGAATACGATCCCCACAAGCGACAAGGGGTACCGGGGTATTACAGTCGCCCCAAATCTCAGGGCATCGGGGTCGGTAAACATCTTAGCAGAAACCATTGCTTTGCAAGGGCTGAGAAGCATCTAGGCTCCCAAAGGAGCTTTCCCCTCCCCCCTCCGCCCGCTTCCTGGTGCAGCCCCTTCCTTCACCCACGCTTTGAGCTCTCCCCGGGATCGGCTCCTCCGCCGGCGCCAGCGATCGCTGCACCCATTCATTCCCTTCGTGACCTCCAATCACCCCAAGTGCAGCGCTACTTACGGCCGTCTTCAGCAACGGCGCCACCAGTCCATCGCCCGGCTGCTGCTTAGTGCCGCCGCCGCCGCTATTTCTGCTGCTGTCCAAACTGCAGCTTCGCAAGCTGCTGAAGAGTCTCGTTGTCCGGGACGAAGCGGCGCATGAACAGCAGCAACAGCAAGGCCGACACCAGAGCGTCATGGCTTCCGATTCAGATCAGGCGAGGCTGCCGCTATTCTGAGATAGGCAATAGGCCCACCCCGCGATCGCCTCGTTCGCGGCGGCTGCGGCAGCGACCCGGACGCGGAAACCCCGGTTTTGGGCAACGGGAGTGTGGTTATGGCCACGCCACCTCCCGGAGCTCTTTACAGGAAACGCTTCGGAAAGACTTATGATGAGGCGAGGGAACGGCAGGGGGATACAAGAAGAAGGCGAGATGGGATCAGTCCTCCCATGATTCTTTGGCAAAAAACGGAGTCGTGATTAGATCTGGATTTAACTCGCCCTGAGTTGCTCCCAGCGCTGAGTGAGGCTGATACCAGCATACGGCCACGTGAATAGAATCGTGTTCTTCTGTGCAAAATGTCACACGTCACTTAAGATTTGTATTAGAGAGGTGGGAAAGAGTTAACTCTGACTAAATATATTTCTAAGAAAAGATGGGTTAGGAGGATTGTGTCACAATAATGGATGAAGCTCATCTTTGCGGTCTTTTAATAGCGACGCCACTCTTAATAATGAAAGCAGGAATCTGCGCCTTTCAGTGTAATTAGGAATTAACTTCTGGACACAAGCATACCTCGTTGATTTTGTGCTGGGCCATTGCCCTAGCCTAGATCCATAAGTAGGTAGAGCCTTCATAATCGCGTATCAAAAAGAGGAAGGGGAATGTTAAAGTTTTTGAACTGTCTGAAATTCTTACATCTGTTGATGAAAAAGAGGAGATGGATGAAGCAAGGTGTAAAAATTAGGCCAAATGTTTAGTCGTTTAAGATCTGCAATTCAGACGAGATCTTGCAAGGAGGTGTATGTGTTAACTGAACTCCAAAAAGTATTGTGCTAAAAAAGGGAAAAAAAACGTTGCTTATACAGGGAAGGGGAAAACATGGATATATTAGGATGATAAACATGACAAAAGGGAAAAACTTAAGAGAAAAGGGAGAGAAAAGATCTATATCAGTATTGGGCTATGGCATGCCAGCAACTGGTCCCTGCAAAAAAGGAAAACCCCATCCAGAGGATGTAGGCAGCACATAAAACCATGCCCCCTTCGATCTGTGGAAAACCTCTCTCCATGTAATCGGTCCCTGATGCCCAAAAGTTTGGGGACCTCTGATTATTATATAATAACTATTGATAGCGTTATAAAATTAATTCAAAGTTAACATTAAATGTAGACCACACAGAAACATATTATTTCATCTTCTCATTTTTAGAACACTCTTCAGAGATAATTAACAAATTCATACCTGGATCCAATCCTTATAACCAGTAGGGTAAGTTTTTTTTCTATTTGCATAAAATTATTTTGAAAAGAATTAAGTTCATGTTTAAATTATGAGAGTATTTCTCATTTAACATCTGGATGAATTCATTCTTCAAAATGGGATATTCCAGTTCTCAATTCTAACATTCAAATATGTAAGTTATATAACTTGCATTTTACTTTTTAAATTATGAATATGGTTGAACAGTTGGTTTGTGTTCAATCATTAAATTTCTTAAGAATCCCAAAATTATAGGTATTCCTATGGTTACTTGACCATCTAGATCAGTGGTTCTCAACCTGTGGGTCGGGACCCCATTTGGGGTCGAACAACCATTTCACAGAGATCGCCAAACAATGCAGTCCGCCATTTTTCCCCCTTTTCCTTAGCTATGCTACTCCCTTTTATTCTATTGACTTTTGAAAGCCAATAGAATAGACTCTCTTGAATAGAGTCTAATTCTATTGGCTTTCAAAAGCCAATAGGAATTGTCCAGGCTGTCTCTGCCCTGCTGAGCCCGCCAAAAGTCCCATTCTGCAAACGGTGCTGCACCAGTGGCAGTTTCAGCAGTCCCAGTTATTATTATTGAGTGAATATATAGTCATTAGCAAGGACATGGATCCAAACCATTCTTGGTAAGGCACTGCCTCCATCTTCCCCATCCATCTATCTCTCCCACAATTCTGCCCTTTGGGCCATCCACTTGCAGCAAGTTACCCCCATTACTCAGCCCTGCCTGCTGTCTCGTGCCCTTCACACTGCACATCGTTTTCACACCAGGTTTCTTTCATGTGCCAGCCAGATCTTTCTTTTACAAAATGACTAAGCTGGCACACACAAAAAAGACCTGGCTGGTAGTGGCCTGTAATGTGCAGTCTGATATACAGCTGCTCACCTATAGCTTTCACACATCATTCTGCATGAGATTTCCATGGTGCCCCATGTGTGACTAGATGGTGCAGAGGGATAGCAAGATGACAGTGAAGGTCAGCTGGGAGTGGGAGATGCACAGTAGCAGGTGGGATGGCCATAAATGAGGATGGACCAAATTTTATTCATCTGATGTGAGGGTATTAAGATGGCCAGAATTTCAAGGACTCATTGTAAGTCCCTTGGTTCAACATTATTGTAACTTCAAATAGTTGCTGAATGAATAGCCATTAAGTGAGGAATATCTGTATTAAATTATAATCCAATGAACAAAATAAATTGGATGATACCATAACATCTCAGAATCAGGTCTTTTTAGCAGCCAACAGAATTAGAAAAACTGGTGCAGCAGTTGTTGAAATTTCAACATAATGCTAAGTGGTATCCTAAAATTTTCAATCCTTGAAGCTTTTTAGAGGAAAAGGGGTGTGAACTCTTGAAGAATCGGAAGCTTGTTCACAGAACATTAAGCCATCATTTAGTACTGTATTCTAAAGAGATAATTCAGCTTCAGACAGCAAAGCTGTCAGTGTTCATTTTCACATAAAGTTTGAAAAGTTCAATAAGCTGAAGATATCTAAATATCTTTAGCTGATCTGCTAAATAAAACCATAGCTATTTATACAACACAATTAGCCATGTGTGGGCAACCTGAAGCCTCATTTTGCTTGAAGAGTCTATTTCCATTACAATTATCCGAAACCCACAGCATCTGCAGTTTATCATTACTGTAAGGCAGTGTTTCCCAAACTTGACAATTTTAAGGCATGTGGACTTCAACTCCCAGAATTCCACAGCCAGCGTTGCTGGCTGTGGAATTCTGGAAGTTGAAGTCCTCATGCCTTAAAATTGTCAAGTTTGGGAAACACTGTTGTAAGGCATAAACTCTTAAAACCTATTGTAGATACATCTAAAATAATCTTAACATAGTTTAAACAAAGAAATAGTTCCGAATCCTACTTACAGTGCATAGAGCAAAATGGGTGGGAATGGAGCAGAATATGCTGATCTTGCTCACATGTTGGTTTAGGCACACTACTTTGCATCATCATCCTGCACATTATGGTTCTTTTGTATCTGCAAAAGGTTGCCTATCCTTTTCTAAGTACTGGTTTGCAAACTACAGCACATAGAGCTACGTAACACATTAATAAAACAAAAACTTTGGTTTAACTTAATTATAGAATGTAAACTCTGACCTGGAAGTCCAGTCCCTTCCTAAGAACAGGAATCTACTATTATATTATCTCCAACAGACAGCCATCCAGCCTTTATTTAAATAACTCCAGCAGGGAGAGTCTATCATCCCTTTTACTGTTCTACTGGAATTGTCTTAAACAGTTCTTCTATTAAGGCAGCTTCCCATTATCCAACTGAAATCAGTTCTTTTAAATCCAATGTTTCTTGTCCTGTGTCTGGTACTGTTTTACCCCATCTACATGATAATCCTGATTCTTGAAAACATAAAACATGTCCAGTCTTCTCTTTGGGTTAAACTTATTCAAATAGCCTCTGGCTATTTCTTATAGATTTCTCCTTCCATGTCACCTTGGTCGATTTCCTCTGGATTGTCAATCTCCTTTCCAAAATGTGGCACCTAGAACTAAATGCAATATTCTACATGCCATCTGTCTAGTAACTTACTTATAATTACGATATTGGTTGAACAGATCTGACATCTTGTATAAAAAAGACAAATAAAATAATTTTCTTAGAATTAAATAATCATTGGCTAGTCTCAATCATATCAACAAGAAAATGGTAATATAAACTCCAAATCTACTGGGTGCCATTGATTAATCTGTAACTATTAAAGTTTGGCCTTCCTTGTATAGGATAAAAGCTTGAGACTTGACCACTGATAGAATGCCCTATCTAGGAAATTGCTGTGTTACTATTTTGGAACTTGTTTCTCATTTTCATTATCATTGTCTTTGGAATTCTTCAGTATCCTAGGGATATTTAACTTTGGGGGTTAGGATTTGTATGATAGTAATTCTCATCCTCTTTGTCTTATCACATTCAAATGATGGAGCACCACATGATGTTGGGTTTTATATCTGCATCACTTAGTGACAGAAATCCCTGTCTCAATCACCATCATTAACCAAAGGTTATCTTTTGTTTCATAGTTAGGCAGACTATCTCTTAGATCCCCAGAGTTGAAGTCATTTAGTGAAGCTATGTCAAGGTAAAAATTAGCATCTTGAAAGGAATCCAGAACATGAGCACAGATTTTTTTTTTTATAAAACTGCCCAAATTCCATTTGGTGATATGATTTTTATGTCAGGAAACTGCTAATTTGATAAATCAGAATGCTATTCAGTGGTAAATATAGCAAAAACATGATACAGCCACTGAAAATAATATCAGGAAAGATTGCCACTGGTGGAGAAAATGTAACTGCACATCAATGTAATTGGTCATTGAAATTTGGAAATCCATGGTAAGCCCATGACCACGATTATTTAACTACTTTGAGAGAAGTAGTCCTTGATTAATGATGGTGATTGAGACAGGAATTTCTTTCACTAAGCGATGTGGTCATAAAGCACAACATCAACTTACTGCACTGCTTAATGACAGCACTTTTAGCACATCTGGTTGCTATTGTTAAGCAAATCATTAAGCACAATGTTACATGGCTGCCATTTGCATTGCTTATCAGAAGCCTTCAGTGATGGTTGCAAATGATAATCATGACTTTGGGATGCTGCGCTGTTATAATTGTGAACTAGTCA